CCCAACGTGTGCCATGCTCCAATGCATCTACATGTGCAAAGAAAACAAGGTAATTCAATGGCATTGAGCTTGTATGAGCTAATTACCTTGTTATCGTGCATGATTATGGTATTGTGAGCTATGATTGCACGACATGAGCTAAGTATTTTATCATATACTATATGTGAGCTAATGTATAAGGTCTAAGAGCTAAAATGAATGCATATGAGTTAGTCAAATGAATGATAAATATATTGTCATTTCATAAATGTAATGGAACATGAATGTAATACTATTCTAATATGCTTAACATATTTAAATAACAATGTGCATCTATTGTAAAGATGTGTTCATGCTAAGTTATTTATTAGCTACATAACTAATAACCTTAATATGATATGTATTATTATAGCATATATGATCAAACTAATATAAAGTAAGTATAACATAGAAATGTTCAAGAGTACTCCCTTTGTATGTGAAGACGTACTTGCATCATCCCCCCTTCTTTAGGGTGATTTGTCCTCAAATCGAAACCTTTGAGGTGTTTATCATTCTGTCCTTGCATAACTTCACATTTCTTTGCTAAAAGAAAGCATCCTTTGAATGAATGTGTTCTTCCAATAGGTACCCTTTCACAAGATCTCCTTTTAGGCCTTTCTTTGGAATATAAATTACCAACAGGTACCTTTTGGGAATGATCTTCTTCTAAGGATATCTCTTTTGGAAGTGATCTTTCATTTGGATGGTCCTGAAAAGTGAAGAGATATGAGGTTTCAAACGAAGGGGTACTTACCTCTTGAAGATCAAAAACCTTGGTGAAGAGTTGTGATTTTGAATTCCAACCATCACCGTGTTTCGTAGGATTCCCTTCATTTTCTAGCATTGAACTATCATGTTTCTTCATGAAGAAGTTTGATTTCATGTTTCGTCCATCTTCATTTTTCATTGGTAGCTTGTCTTTTCGCCAGACTTGGACACTTTTTTGCATATGCAATTGATCTTGTTGAACTTCTTTAGGCGTCAAAGGAACCAAAATTACCTTGCGTCCTTTATGCTTAAAGGAATATTGGTTATGATAATAGTCATGAATGACCCTTTTTTCATACTGTCGTGGTCTACTAAGTAAAATGTGGCTAGCATGCATAGGGACAATGTCACAAAGTACCTCATCCTTGTACCTACCAACAGAAAAATGAATTAGAACCTATTTAGTTACGTTTAACTCACCTCATTCATTGAGCCATTGGAGTTTATATGGAGTAGGATGCTTTGATGTTGGCAAACCAAGTTTTTCAACCATAAGAGTGGTGGTTACGTTTGTACAACTCCCTCCATCAATACTCATTGTGCAAACTTTGTCATTGACATGGCACCTTGTATGGAAAATGTTGTTTCTTTGTAGATCCTCTTTAGATGATTGTGATTGGAGGCACCTTTTTAAAACAAGCATTTCTCTATGATCTGAATTCTCTTCTGGTTCCTCATCATAGATATGTTCTTCGGAATCTGAGACAACATCTCCATTATCAAGTACTATCATAGCATTTCGGTTAGGACATTGGCTGGGAACATGTCATGTTCAAAAACTCTTAAAACATTTGATGTCTCTGGACCTTTCAAAAGTGTTGGTTTGCTTCTCTTTACCCTTGCTAGATTCACCCACTTGTTTAATTTTGGTTACCTCTATATGATCCTTTGCTTGGACTGGAGTTGGCTTCCGGAAAGTATTAGACTCTTGTTTCTATTTGGTGGCCAAATTTGGGTTACTCCGGTTGAAAACCTTCCTTTTAATTTGTTGCTCGATTTTCATGGCCATATGTACAATCTCCTCAATCTCTACGTAATGCTACAATTCAACAAGGTTAACAATTTCTGGATTGAAGTCAGATAAAAACCTTGCCATGGTTGTTTCCCTATCTTCATCAACGTTGGCTCGAATCATGGCTATCTCTATCTCCTTGAAATAATCTTCAACGCTCTTGTTTCCTTGTTTAAGATTTTAAAGCTTATGATAAAGATCTTCGTGATAGTGAGTAGGCACGAACCTTTTCCTCATAATGGTCTTCATTTCTTCCCAAGTATTGATTGGGCGTTCAACATTTCGTCTTCGCGAACTTACTAATTGATCCCACCAAACTAGGGCGTAGTCCATAAATTCCATAGCAGCAAGCCTTACTTTCTTTTGCTTCGTGTAGTTTTGACATTAAAAAATATGCTCGATCTTTATTACCCAGTCAAGATAGGCTTCAGGATCAGTTCGTCCTTGAAATGGAGGAATGGGTTACCTTGATGTTGCTGAAGTTATCATTTTGATTTCTAGTAACATCTCTTCTTGCTTCTGAGGTTACTTTGGCCTCCTCCTAAAATTCTTCTTTCATTTTTGGGCGGATTATTCTTCGATTGCCTAAAGATGCTTCAAATTGATCCATTCGATCATGCAAAGGCTCCAACTCTAGTTTCAACAATCTTGCGATTTCATTCATAATTGCTTGAGTTTGCAAGTTAGGGGCTTCTCTTTCAGGGTTCATCCTGGACTCTGAGACATGATTAATGAAATAATAAAAGAAAATGTGTAAAAGACCTTACCAGTTAATGCTCTCACAAAGCCTTACGAGTTCACTCCAAGAAACTTGAATGTCACTCAATCTGCTCGTGTTTGCACTCTATGACTTCAAGACTTTTACTAGTCCTCTTCTGATCTCACACACTCAAGCCTTTTTCCTCTCAATCTCAAGTTCTAAATGAATTTACTCAAAACTGTACCAAGTAAAATCTACTTGTTGTGCGTCGATAGCAAAAAAGGTTAGTAGGAATAGAAAGCAAATAATAATGAAATGGTGGCTTAAAAATAGAAAGAAAAGAATAAAGGGGTTACTTACACAAAGTCACTTCACAACCCTTCTATCACCACAATCAATTTTAAAGGCTTACTTGAATGGCTTGCTGATGAAATTGTTGTTGTGTGCTTTCAAATTTTCTTTCTTTTCTTTTATTTTTCTTCTTTTTTTGAGTGCTTGAAATTTTCTTCTTTTGAGTGCTTCAATTTCTTTGCTGATTTTTTATTTCTTTCACTTGCACTTCTTTTTGTGTTTTTTATGTTGTTGTTGCACATTGCTTCTTCCACCAAAGCTCTGAATACTACTTGCTGTAAGGTACTCCTACTTTGTTTGATTGATTGTGGATCTAGGAAGGAAGCAAAACAACCTGTATAAGTGAATGGCTCAAAGGGATGGTTTGGTGGTAGATGTAAAGGTGAAATGGTAGGCTATTTATGATATGAGAAATGGTAGCGGAAGTATGTTGTTATGGCTATGGTTTGGTTGATGAAACAATGGAAGGTTGTGAGGGTAATATCTTAAAGAAGACTCAAAGAAGAACCAATGTTAAAGAACAAAGACCCAGACTTTATATTGATTCTTTAAGGGGTGGCAACAAGGACTTGGACCTACTATCTATATGGAGATAGGAACCACAAGTATCAAAGTAAAAGGGATTGACGCCACAAGTAATAAATTACTTGATAAGTCGATAAAAGTCACAAGGACTTAAGCAAACAGAATAATCTCACTTTTTAATTATATGAAAGGTGTAACTACAAATGAAATAGGACTAGCCTATTTATAGTTTTTGAAGGGACTTGGCCGAATAGGTACATGGTGGTTCGGCCAGCCCTTGTGTCTCCTTATAATGACATAATTTAATTAATAAATACATGAATAAAGAGGTGTTGGTTCGGTTGGAATGGAGGGGCATGTCCCATGGCTGAATAACACTTGAAGCCTTTCAAGTTAGTGCCAAATTGGAGAGGAAATGATGCTTGGCCGAATGGATAGGTGGCCATTCATCTTGGCGCCTAAATGGAGTCACACACCTAGCACATGTCTTGGCTGGTCACAAGGCATGTACATGGCTCTATAGGATGCTTGTGGTGTAACCTTATGCATAGGATGAAGGCCAAGCCTGGCAGCAACCTTGGGCGTGACTTGAGCTACCTTTAAGCTTGCATGTGCTTAGCTAGCTATCGATGTTAATGCTGGTGGTGAATGAACTCCTTAGATGTGACCTTCCAAGCTTCATAGCATCTCATTCAGCTACACTTGATGTCACCTTTAGCAACTTATCTTCAAATAGTCCAACTAGCTAAGATTAGCTAGCCTTGAGCTCCTCCAGTTGAGTTGAGCTTTTCTTAGTGTTCCACGAGCTGCCATGATATTTGTGAGCTGATTGTGAGCAACGTGTTCCATGCTCCAATGCATCTACATGTGCAAATAAAACAAGGTAATTCAATGGCATTGAGCTTGTATGAGCTAATTACCTTGTTGTCGTGCATGATCATGGTATTGTGAGCTATGATTGCACGACATGAGCTAAGTATTTCATCATATACTATATGTGAGATAATGTATAAGGTCTAAGAGCTAAAATGAATGCATATGAGCCAGTCAAATGAATGATAAATATGATGTCATTTCATAAATGTAATGGAACATGAATGTAATACTATTCTAACATGCTTAACATATTTAAATAACAATGTGCATCCATTGTAAATATGTGTTCATGCTAAGTTATTTATTAGCTACATAACTAATAACCTTAATATGATATGTATTATTATAGCATATATGATCAAACTAATATAAAGTAAGTATAACATAGAAATGTTCAAGAGTACTCCCTTTACATGTGAAGACGTGCTTGCATAATATATTATTAAAATAATAATAATAATAATAATAATTAGAATCCGGACAAAAACGGGTGTCTACAATGTGTTAATCTAAACACCTTACCTCTGAATGATCAAAAATATTACAACCCAAAAACATAAGTATCAAAATTAAATATTTTCAAAATCAGTGATTAAAACAGAACATACTAAAAATAAAAGGGATCATTCGTATAATTTAACCTATCAATATTGTAGGTGCCAGGTGAGTCTCCCGTTGACTGAGATAAATCTGCAAATGCAACTAGGGTTTAAGATGGACCAGTTTGGAATTCAGACAAAGTGAACTTGCTTTGTTTTACTTTCTTTTTTCTTTTTTCTTTTTTTGGTAGAGAAGAAAAGGTGAAGCAAAGGAAACGATATGACGCTCTCGACATCTCTGAATTCGCTCTCTGTAATCCCCAAAGCCTCTCCTTCTAAACACCCAGTAATATTCAACCTCCTACAAACTCCATCGTTCAGAATTCACCTCAAACTCAACCCCATTTTCAAACCCTCCTCTCTTTCTCTTTTCACCCAACCATCCAGACTCACACCCAAAACCCAATATTTTCAAACCCCCAAGATCCGCTCCCTTTTCACCGGCATCGTCGAGGAAATGGGTGAAGTCAAGCAATTGGGTAAGGCCGATCATGGCGGCTTCGATCTCAAAATACTCGCCAAAACAGTTATACAAGATGCCCACCTCGGTGACAGCATCGCCGTTAATGGAACTTGCCTAACCGTGACGGATTTCGATACCCATTTGGGAGAATTCACGGTTGGCTTGGCTCCTGAAACTCTGAGGAAGACCTCATTGAGTGAACTGAAACCTGGATCATTGGTGAATTTGGAGCGAGCCATCCAGCCCACGGGTAGAATGGGGGGTCATTTCGTGCAGGGACACGTAGATGGGACTGGGGTGATTGTGGGGAAAGAGGTGGAAAAGGATTCATTGTGGATTAAAGTTAAGGCTGATAAGAACCTGTTGAAATATGTGGTGCCGAAAGGGTTTATAGCTGTGGATGGGACTAGTTTGACTGTGGTGGATGTGTTTCAAGAGGAACTTTGTTTCAATTTTATGTTGGTGGATTATACTCAACACAAAGTGGTGATCCCTTTGAAGGAAGTTGGGAAAAAGGTGAATTTGGAGGTTGATATTCTTGGCAAGTATGTAGAGAGGCTTCTTAGAAGTGGTTTTGTTGATTCGATCAAAAGCTCATGAGCTGCAGAAAATTTTCAAGGTAAAGGTAAAGGTTTGGTTTTTTTCTTTTTCTAGTTTATCACTGTATCAGTGTCATTAGTTTATGCTTTTCTTCCGTTGTTTTTACTTGTTCAAGATGAGGCATTTAAGTTTGCAGTAGATTCGCGATCGCGATTGAGTTATAGTTCGGTGTCATAGTTCCAGCAACTTGGAGTTTGTAGGATTGAGCGCACTTAAGTGCGCTTATCCTCCCATTGATTAGTTAGAGGTTCGGGAGTTGAGTAGTTTAAGGATTGTACCAAACAGGAAAATAATGCAGCAGTTTCCATATTTGGGATTTAGAAAGATTTTTATCATTTACTGGCATTGATTTTAACACAGTGGTATACAGGTATATTGTTTTCAAGGGGCACAAGGTCTTTGGTGCCCTTTGTTCTTTCATATATATAGGGGCGGTTCCAATGGGGGAAGGCAGTGGTCTTGCTCCCTTGGTTCTGGTTATTGTTAGGGAAAAAATTGGTAAAATTGTATTTTGACTTCAAAAAATTATAATTCAATCCGACCCTCTAATATAAAATTTCTCGTTTTGCCATTATATATGTGTGTGTTAGCCTTTGTAAACAGTGTCTGCGCATAGATGCTTGATTTTGCTTGCATTATTGATGAGGCTTGACTGACTGACTGATGGGGGAAAAAGTTGGCTACATATTTTAGAGTTTTTGGTATGAAAGCCTTGTTTAATCATGAAGATCAGCTGTATCAGGCAGGCATTTTGAACCAGTTGCCAAATCCTTTCAATAGATGTAGCATACTGGCCATTGCTGCTGAAATTTCATAACCACATTCATTAATTTGTAACCCGAGCTTGTTTCCCTACTTCTCTTGTCTTCATGACCTCTACCAAAGGGAATGTTAATGTTATATTGAACATCAATCATGCTTTCTTGGTGTGAAGTAATATATACTGTGGTGATGTGTAAATTTGCAGGAAAAGAAGAACAAGAATTTCAATTTTAATCATCCAGGAATAAGCACATCAAGTGTCTGCAGTTGCTTTCATTGTTAGCCCTTTAAGTCTTTTGGCTTCCGTTCATGCATTTTTTGATGTTGTATTGACCATAGTTTGCTTGCCCTAATAAACTGCCTATCTGAAACAACATTCGTATTTCAGTTTCTTTCATTTGATCTTTAGATCAAAACGAGGTGCCATATGTCTCGAATAACAAATGTAGCATCTTTTAACTAAGTTGTTAGTACTCTCAAACGATCACTACAAGGTGTATTCGTGTTTATGTTTGTTGAACTGGAGGGCGTAGCTACCTTGTCAATCCTGATCTCAACACCCCTGTTCTGGTTTTTCAGGTGCTCTCAACATCAGAGATAAAACGGAGAACTCAGATTCCAAAATGCATAGTAAAATTTGAAATTCAGGAATCCAGAGGCAAGAAGTTTCGAATTGTTGATCGGTTGATTCCAGCAAAGTGTACTTTTACTAGGGGATAACCTTCATAAGTAGAACTTTTTCAACATCTTGGGTTAAGTCTACTACTACATCTGACAGACATTCAATAAAGTTGCAGTTGTCTTGGTACATTTTTTTTTCATGTTTTAATAAAGAATAGAATTCTGGTTTATTTATGGAGATTGACTGGATCAACATTATTGATTTGGTCCCATAATTATTTGCCTTTCAAGTAGGTTAAAGTAAAATATGTGAATTCTGTTTGGTTTCTAGCAACAGTAATTAAGATCATATGAAACTCTGAGATGGTAGGCAAAACGATGTAGTTTTTACTCCTTTGTACCCAAAAACAGAATATAACTCGGCATGGATGCAATATAAGAATCTTTAATTCCTAATACCAATAATGTATCACTTGAAAGAATATGAAAAACAAGGAGCTTCTCTTAGAAGGTTTATCATCACAAGTTGCATATAAAAGTAAACGACAATTATGAAAACCAGCTCAGTTTATTGTTGCTTGGTAATTGGGAAAGGGGGGGGGGTAATCACAAACAGCTTTCAGTTGTCTACTGATTTGAATCATCTAACCTCAAAGAATGTTGAAGTTTGATGGTCCGATAGTGTCGACTAATCCCCATTAAAGACAGCTCTGGTACAGACATCTTTGTACTAGACGATTCAGGGTCTATGAAGATGACAACAACCATAATATCGTCATGGAAAAACCGTCGAATCCCTTTATCAACCTTCTTAAGATCATCATATCTCATCTCCCTTTTCCTTGCTGCCTCACTTAAAGCTGTTTTAATGAGCCTTCTTGCAATTCCCTAGAATTTTTTTTGGGGGGGGGGGGGGACAGGAGTGCGAAATAAGAGACTTAAAAGTTCGATAGTAAAAATACGATGCACTGACTGAAAATGGCACTTACTGCTCGTGGATATTTATAAACTATCTCGACTGCTTGCTGATTTGTCAAATGTTCCCAAAGTCCGTCAGACGCAAAAATGAGGAACTTATCACTTGATTGTAACACTCTGGTGCACAAGGATGGTTCTGCTGCTAACACAGGTCGACGAATGGGCTCGGAAAGGTGAAATCGTGGGAAAGAAGGATCAAGAGAAAACTCTGGCCGCTTCAAGTATGCATCTCCTATAGATCTAGATACCTGATATCAGTTCATAGTAATTCACAGGTAAACACAAAGAACATAGAAAAGTCAAAACACGAAATGTGTCGCAAGCAAACAGACATCAAATCGACCTCCAAGTGAAGTATAAGAGAAATCAGACAAAAATGCACATCTTGCTGAATGTGCTTGTCGTACCATACCAGTCAAACAACGAGTTCTATAAAAGTGGAGTATTTCCCAAATGGATTACATTACAAGTTTGCCATCACAAATATAGTTTGAGCTGAACCCATTGAGTGACCCCTGTGGTAGAAGGGAGTGTTATCTCCCTAGAGGTTCCAAGTTCGAGCAGTTGTGTCTGCAGGGTGTGCGCGCGTTGTCCTCAGTCAAAGGCAGGCTGCCATTTGAGGAGCAAACAAAGAAAAAGCTTGAACTTACTCGTCCATGGTGTAATGATAGCAAACAATCTTAATGCTAAGCAAACAAATTATGCTTTATGTAAAGCGATTCAATTAAAAAGAAAAAAAAGTATACCTTCTTTTATTTGTGTGTCCTAATTGTGGTCCCCATAAATAACAACTCATACATCATAGCAGAAAACATGGAAATCAGATGATAATGAAGAAAAGTAACCATACCTGAATGATGCCCTTAATACGCCATACTCCATGCTTCATAACAACAATATGAGAATCATCTGGATGCAATGACCTGAGTTCCTGTCTCACCTCCTCTATACTTGCATTATGATCTCTAGTCAACTGCTCAGCAACTATCTTATTCGATCTACCTAAATACCCGATCACAACTCGAGAATCACCCAAATTAGCGACGTATAACGTTCCCTTCCATATAAATCCAACCAGACAACAATATCCAATTGCTGCGATTAATGGTTTTATTCCTCATGACCTACGTACAAGAGTCAGAAACTCATCTTCGGTTGCAGAGAAAGCACTTTTAAGTGTATCTTCAGAAATGGTTCCATCTGCTCGAGCAAACCCTGTTGAATGATACATCAGATGATTTACTAAAAAGTCATTTGAAAGGATGCAAAAGCCATAACTATAAAAGCATCCAATACAAACTAGACCGTTTATTTACTTCCAAAGGAAGAACACAATCATCATGTTCAAATCTTATCCGACATCCTCCTCGTAATAGGCTCCACCAGGCAGTAAACAGAAGTAACAACTATAGAAACATGTGCATATTCTAATGAATCTTATTCCAATATCTCTCCTCTTTGATAATCACATAGAACCAAGGTCTACTACAAAAGGAAATTAGAAAAATAAAATAAAAAAACATGCTTCTCCTATGAAATTTTGATAACGAAATGTCCGGTCCCAGGTATATTCTGATGAATCAAATTTGATACTCTTGATTTGTTAAGCAGATATTGAGCTTTCAGAGTCAACTACTCTAAGTTGCTTTGTTTGTTGCAACTTGAAGCCACAACAATTTTATATTAGAAACTAAATTTCCATTTACCAAGTTGGAAATTCCAAATAAAATCCGACTCAAATGTGGCATCGCATCATTTTATCAGTAAAGTCCAAGAAAAACAGACAATCAGACAAATATAAATTGGCATACGGTTGCTCTCAACCAGCAGTCCAGCATCTATCATAGACTACAGCAATATAAAATTTGGTGAGGCTCAAACAAATATGAAAAAGGATACAAGCAAATATATTTCCAATAAACACATAACAATGAAGAAAATTCTAAACAAAAAATTTCTTCAAGATGGCTTAAAATTCATATAAATTACAAGAAAAATAACCAAGACTTTTTTTTTAGAAAAAAAAAAACTAGTCCTCTAAGTAAATACCATTTGCAAAATTTAAAAATGAGAAAAAAAGAGAAAATAATAAAATCGATCAAAATTAAAAGGAAAAGAAGAAGAAGAAGAGAAGTTACTAATTAAGTTTTGAAAGAGATGATCGGAGATAAAGCGAGAAGCATCAGGGCCACCATGTCCATCATAGACACCAACAAAAGTAGCATCTTTGCCTGTCTCAACTTGACTATGATCTTCAATGATCTCATTGGCTTGAACAACAGCATAGGAGAAATCACCATAAGAGTGTTTCTCAAGGTCTCTACACCAAAGAAGAGAATCGCGTAATGATGAAGAATCTTCTTCAAGCTCATTATTGCCACTGTTGTTATTATCCTTGTTCATACGGGCATATCGACTCACTGGTTCCCAACAAGCGAAAGCTATCCTTGCCAACCATGAAAACATCCCTCATTTCCCTTTAAAACAATACCCTTTATTCAAATTTTATTTCACTTCGGAATCACAAAAAATGGCTCGAAACTTAAATTAAAAAAGGGGGCTTTTCAAGGTCCAGATAGTGAAATTTTTTAAGAATCCCACCCTGGATTGCTATCAAAGGAAGTGAATATACACTGGGCTTATTTAAAAAGCAAGGAAAGTCCAAAGACTTGATGAGTTTTAAAGGGTAGCTGCTAGATAGATGGATCAAAGAAGAAGAAAGATGAAGAATTTGATGGATCAGAGAGGCAGAGAGATAGTGGGAGGAGAGTTCTAAAGAGGAAAGACACATTTTGGGGGATTTGTGAGAAGTGAGAAGCAACTGGAGGCTTCTTTTTTCTTCCTAATTTCTTCGCAGTGAAAGAAAAAGTTGACGAAGCCTATGAGCAAATAGCAATGCTTTTTCTTTTTAAGAAAAATAAATAAACAAAACAGAAAGTTGTCTTTTTCAATTGTTTTTCTTTTCTTTCTTTGCAAAATTTTGGAGCGGGAATTACGATAATGCCATTCATCTTCAATATCAGGTCAGATCTGGGACCCACTCTTTTTCTTTTCTCCCCTTCCCTCTAAATTCTATTGGGAAGGAAAACAACCAATATGAAATCATATATATAATACTAAGTATTTAGTTATTCACCTGTTTCTGTAGTTTCATTTTGGTCATTAACTATTTTTAAAAAAAAATTATATATAATACTATGTCTTTATTCTATTTTGGTTACCTACAATTAAAATAATAAATAGAGTAATTGACGTGATAATTTTTTCAACAATTATATGTCATTATATTATCATCATTAGATTTTAGATAAATTACATATTAGTCACTAAACTATTCATGTGATCTTGTTTTGATCATCCAACTATTTTTTTTCAAAATCATATATATACTTATGTTTTTGTTCTGTTTTGGTCACCTATCATTAAAAATAAATAGAAATATTGATGTGTCATTTTTTATTTTTTCAATGATTACGTGACATTATCCTATGATAATACACCAATGTCACCGTTAATTTTTTAATGACGACTGACCAAAACAGAACAAAAATGTAAGTTTAAGTATGATTTTAAAAAATAGTTAGGTAACCAAAATGAAACCGCGAGAATAATTGGATGATTAAATACATAATTTACCTTAATTTTTTTAAAACGACGAGATCGAACGTAATGTTAGATATGATTTAAAATAATAATTGGATGGCCAAAATGAAACTGCATAAATAGATAGGTGGCTAAATGTGTAATTTACCCTAAAATCAATTATAGATCTTATTTCATTTATAAATTTATTTTTTAATTATATTTCATAACATAAATCCAATATTTATAACTATTCATTCTAATAATAATTTGAATCTTCTCATTATATTTTGCACTTATTGATACAAAATCTTAAGTTTTAGAATGGCGTAACGTGGACTATACAGATCCATAGATAAATATGAACATGTGATGCTAATAGAATGCATTTCCTTGAATGATTTTAAAAATGATTAAATTACAGTTCTTTAAAACAAAGCCTACCCTATTTTTCTTTCTTTGCCATAAGTGTTGAGCCTAATGTGTTCACTGGGTTTGCTACATTAAATAATTATTTTTTGAGGGGTGTACATAAAATAATAGATTGGTGATAGATCTTGAAAAAAACTTTTTTTCTTCGTAGATTAGAGTGATTTAAGGTTTTATGAGTTATGAGTTTAGAGTTGAGTTTTAAATTGATTTAAGTAAAATATAAACTGATAGATTGGTATGAGACAATGAGGTAAGTTTGTCGATATCTTGAGTGGCCAGAGAAGATGTCGAAGAATGATAATTGTAGCATCGACGTAAGATAAAGATGAAACTATAAAACTTTAATCTTTGGAGAAAGAAGATAAAATAAAAAAATAACTTGGATGATATATAGATTGCCACGGCATCCTTCTATTTATGATTTAACACTCGGATGACCAAAATATGACTAAATTGGTTTAGTAAGTAAATTAAAAAAAGTTAACTTTTAGTGATGAAAATATGAATGAAAAAAAGGTGAGTGATGAAATTTGCAATATACCCAACACATTTAGAGCAACAAATAAATCTTTTATTTTCATATTTTAGTGATGAAATTTTTAGTACACTCAAATTTGAGTTAAAAATTATATATATTTTTTCATTTTGCACTCAATTCAATTAGGGTCTAGAAGATTCCATCATACTCAAAATTCAACTCGATATTTTAAGCTAAAACTCTCACTCAATCCAACTTAAATATATATACTCATTTTTATTAGGTAAAAAAGACCTAACTGAAAAAATAAATAGAAATAGATATTATTATAATTATTTTTAAATTTATAAACGATAATTATAATATTATGTCGGCTTGAATCGGGTCATAATCTTTTACCTTAAACTCGAATCTTACCTAGTCATAGCCAAAGACTTAACTCGACCCGACTTGAATATAAACTTTCAAAATAAAAAATCGATCTACCTGAATTCAACTCAAAATCTATATGATGCGAATAAAATGATCATCCCTAAATCATATATTTATTTGTTGTCGTAAATAAATAAATGAATTGAATGAGAAGAAATAGTAATACATATGGTTTGATGATTGGCAATATACAAATTTCATTGCAGATACCTAGACAACATCATTAATCAAACGCCTATGTCTGTTATAATGTTTCTCCATGAAAACTCTGGATGCTCCTTCTATAGTTTTACGCCATGTCTGCATCACAATCATGAAATGTTACTCAACAAGGGATTAATAGATTATATCCAAATCAAATTTGTAAGGGACTACCTTCTCAATGGTGCCAAAGATGGACCTGTTCCTAATCTCCCTGGCTCTTAACTGCGACCTCCCCATCCCAAGCTGTTTAAGCAAAGTGGACCGCCGTGTGGCTGCCGCCGGAGGAAGAAGCCATTTCCGCTCAACTAACCCATTGTTGGAAGGACTGTCCGATGATTCCCTTCTGGACCTGCCCGATCCACTCCTTTTCTTTCGTTTCACCACCATTACCCTTAACTCTTTCCTCAACGCCGCCGCCCCCTTATCATCATCATCGTCATCCGCGAACTTCCTCAACAACTCATCAGATGACTTCTTGGTTACATGTTGAACCTGAACATCACTGGGATTTCCATTACCATTAGCTGTAACAGTAGCAGTTTCCATTGTTAGAAGCAAGAGAGTTTTTGGGTTAGATGGGGAGAAATGGAAGGAGAATATTAAATATAAATGGTGAAAGGGGGAAGTGGGGCTATCTTTTTTTAAGGTTCGCAGAGAAACAGCCAAAAAACAGTGTGGGGGGAGAATGGAAATGAACCGTTGGGTTTGAATAATTTATACAATGTAGCCGTTAGGTTAGGGGCAAAGAAGAAGATGATTATTTGGTAAAAGGATTGGGGATGTGTCTGAAAAAAGCGCTCCACCCATGTTAGTTTCGCAGGCAAACGGGGTCTGATCTGATTCAGATCAAACGGCCTTTATTTTAATTATTGTGTATGTCATTACGTATAATTATAAATTAATTAAAATATAATATTTATAAATATTAGTTTTATGATAAATTATATCATTGATCATCTAACTATTTATCTCTTTTATTTTAATCATTGAATTTTTAAATTTGTCAATCGGGCCACTTAACTATTTAAATATTATCAATCAAGCCACTTGTCATTAAACATTAATAGAGGAGATGACATGACAATTAATAAAATATGTATAATTACACATTTAGTCCTAATTACTTATACATTCTATTATTTTGGTCCTAACTTTTAATTAATTCGATAAATTTAATCATCAATCAGATGGTGACATGTGTCACTATGTGATTTGATTTTTTTCTTAATATTTTTATTTTATTTAATAAATTTCCATCCAATCAAATGGTGCCACATGTCACCAATTGAATGAATAGAAAATAAATTGAAACAATAACCGTTGTTAGTGGGATTTGAACCCAAGACGTGAGGAGAGGAAGCAAAAACCCCAACCAATGGATTGCACTATTCAAATAACAAACTTATCATAACATGGAATAATTGAATAACACTATAATATGATACATATACACAAATATTATAACTGATTAATATGTGAATGTATTTTATTTATATTTTAAATCATTTTAATGAAAAAAATAAAAAATTTAATAAATTATAATTGAAATATAACGAAGAGCTTCGTTGACTTAGAATTTTTCTGATAGTTGATGGTTTATCGTTGTAAGTGTCGACACTCGTTTTTTCATCATTATTTATATTATTATTATAATTATAATTATATTAATATATTATTATTAATAATATTAAAAATAATAATTTATAATTAAAATTTTATTTTACAGATTTACAATAATAGGCTTGGTGAGCCCAAAACCAAACCCAAATTACAAGTTATACCCGAAGCCCAACTGTAGTAGCCCAATCAGATTAGGGTTTCTTCATGTTCCATCATCCGCCAACAGCTCTTGGTTATTGGATCTGAGAGAGATCCAACGGCTCAGATTGATTCTTGCTAGGGTTTCTAGAACATCCACCACCACTTGGACCACTCATGCCACCGTCGCTTGGACCACTTAACAACCACCACCGCTTGGACCACTCAACAGCCACCACTGCTGCCAACCACTCTCATGCCACTGCAACTAATCATAGTTGTCCATACCATGTATGAATCATTACCAAAACACAAAAAATAATAATAAATAAAATAGATTACTATTTTTAGACTTGTAAAAAACGGGTATAAAATCCCGTTGAAACAATGTAATGAAAGGAGTTCGACTCATTTGGAGTTTTCCAGAAACAGAATACAAAGCAATAAATCAGAAAGTTTTCAATAGCATTCGAAAGATCATTTATCAGTGTAGTTCCCCAAGGGCCAGAGTTGAAGGATATTGAAGGGAAGAGAGAGACTATTGATGAAGTCAAGAATTGTGGCTGATGGGCGTTTGACGAATGAAATGGATTCCAACGGCAAATAGATTAGAAATTTTGATCATGTGTTTTCCCAATTTGCATACAAGGGCAATCATGGTGAATAAAATGTCTTGAACAAAAGTGAAACTGTGAGCAAAAAGAATGGAAAGAGGATGATAGTCGATGTGCAAGTACGAAAGGTTTCATCGTATTTTCAAGCAAGTGGAGAAAAACATAACAGCTCAACTGGCAACTGTGGAGGACAGCTCAATTTGATTTTGCAAGTTTTGTACAAGGATTGTAGTAAGGAAAAGCTTTTGAAGGAAGGGGAAAACGTTAGCAAACACTATGGAAAGAAGAGGAGGGCAAAGGAAAATCATTTTCGAAGCGGGACCACCTCTTTCCCCTTCGAGTAAAAGACCGTTTCGATAGCTTGGCGACTCCGCTGGGGACTTATTTTTAGAGAGTCAGACAATTAGTCAATTAATAAATTGTCTTTGCAAATAAAATTACAAGTTCGTTCTATTTTGGTTTTTGATCACTTGTTTTGGTTTTAAATAAGTTTTGTTTGCATTTTGACTCTTAATTTGTTTATCCACTAAATAGTTGTACTGATTTGTTTGCTAATGTTTTCAGATTAAATAATTGTTCAAGGTCTTGAGTTTATTGTTCAATGTTGTTTGCTTTATTTTTCACTTTTCCTCACACACTGCACAACTACATTTGCATAATATGAGCTAAAACCTCGCTCCGTCCTATTTAAGTAGGAGTAAGTAACTACTCCCTCGTGTGGTTTTCACCTCCGTGCGAGATAGTGAAACGCTCTTTGGGCTCACACCTTATGATCCTCGTGAGGTTTTCACCTTCGTAATGACATAAGGAAGTGTATCCCCTCAAATTGAACTCAATTTGAAAGCCTATGATGGGCCAGGATTGAGGGTTCGATAGCCCAAGGGGGCACCGACAAAAGATAATTTGAGGACCCCTTACTTTAGAACCAAACCTAGCATGTAGTAAACCTAGAATCTAGATATGACCTTACCCATACTATATGATACTGTGAGGGGAGTACACAAGGAAAAACTTATTTGAGCATTTTTTAGTGAAATTTTAATTTCTCGAATAAATGTATGTGAACTAGAAATCATGCGGTTAGTTTTAATTTATTGGATAAGTATGCGAACTAGAAGGCATGAGGTTAGGATGTTCTATAAACAAAGCATGTGGGTAGAAATCCTGTTTGGGTAGGATCTATTAAAGCATGATGGGATAGACAACATGTGGGGTAGGTTTTATCGATAAATTAAATTATGTTTTAATTAATTCATTTATGATTACTGATCGATTTTCCTTATTTTTGTTTACTTTGTCCTCATCTTGCATTGCACTATTCATCTCATTGGTGTTGATCTATGACTGATGTCCATATAGAAGACTAGCAATATGGAACGGATGATTCAAAAAGAGGTAGAGGACAATACAGACGTCTTGAGATGGTCCGAGCAGTTCCAGTTGACAAATGGAGATAGTTTATTGTCAGGGTATATGTCAGAGCTAAATGGGTATACTCACATCAACGTTCGTCAGAATGATCTAAATGAGCTGAAAGAGATTTGGGGAAGATGGGAATTATCTGATAAGAAGTTGTTTTATCAACTCTATGGAGACATTTCATATCTCCTTGATATCTTGATTGACCGGAATCTGTTTAGAGCTCTGGCTTAGTTCTGGAACCCCGCCTATAGCTATTTTACATTTGGCCAAGTGGACCTGACACCTAATATAGAGGAGTACCATGCCTTGATTTATTGCCCGAGGTTCCAGGTGGACAAAGTATACACCAAGCCACCGAATACTTCTTATTTTAAGAAGAAACTGCTTCTGATGATTGGCATGAGCGAAGAAAGGGTTATAATAGGCATAAAAAAGAGAGGAGACAGCGAATGCTTCAATTGGACCCTTCTAAGAGAACTGATTGACTGTCATCCTGACAGAAGAAAGAGGATCGACTTGTTTTCTCTACGTATCTATGGATTGGTTATTTTCCCTGATTTTTTACTGACAAGAAGGAGAATGACGTTTCATAGGTTGTGCACCATTGTTGCTAACCTGGATCCTTAGTCATTTTAAACACATCGAGAGGGCACCTGGTCGAGTCTTCTTAGAAGGGTTTTCACCGTTGAAGGATTTCATTTCTCGGGAGTGGACTGGAGGTTTCACTGAGGAGAAGTGGATGGTCATCTTTAAAGACATCCGAGACAGTGATATTCTATGGCGTGCCTTATGGAACGTCTCATCAGACATATTGTATCGATATGGAGACAGAGATTGGGTTCTATTGCCAAGTATTTGGCGATCTGTTGGGTATACCCCGTTACTGGTTTCCCGACAGTTTGGGTCCAGACAGTTTATTCCAACAACAGGAGAGTTATCCAGGTCTGAGTTTGAGTTTAGGGGAGAACAATACAAGAATAAAGTTAAAGGAGTCGTCGATGCTTGGAGACGCACCCATTGGGTAAATCTATTTACTTTTGGCTTAATGCTATCTCGAGGGTATGAGGAATGGAGAAGCAATAAAGTCAATGATAATGTTCCTATGATTAACCTAGAGAATACTCAACCTATGGAAGAACACCTCAGAGTGGTTTCGTCCCCGCTAGAACAAGCCAAGCTTGATTTTGAGGCTGAGAGAAATAAGTGGAGAAAGATGTTACAGAGGTTAGAGGATAACTCATACCAAAGGAGCGTAGAAATCGACATCCAAAAGAGTCGAGCTGACCAGATCGAAAATATAGAAAAGCAACTCATATTAGATTTCAATGATCTCCAGTCGTCATACCAGCGAATGGTTAAGAATCAGGTAGCTGCTAGCTCAAGTAAGTCTTTTGCTGAATGGAGACAAGAAGTGGATGGGATAAAAAAAGAAGTTAGGGAAAGCAGTGATGAACTCAAGAAAAGTAGACATCAGGAGAAGCTACTCTCGAGAGAAAAGAATGCCATTGAGCAACAATTGCAAGAGAATCAGACCCAGAATGAAAGATTGAAAAGTAAAATCTTGAGATTAGAGACTGCGTTGCGACGATATCGAAGTCGAGAAAATAGTTCAAACCATGCTGAAGTGGAAAATTTGACGAAGCGTGTGAATGAACTCAAGGCTTTAATTCAAGATTTTTAAAGAATAGTGAATGAGCTCTCATTAGTCCCTTATGAAGGAGTTATACAATGGCGCTGTCGTTGGGAGCAAGCTCAGCAGAGAGTTAGGCAAGGAGATGATCTTATTGCAAGATACCTACAACAGG